TCAGGGACTTTTCCAGTGAGTCAGTTCTTTGCATCAGGTGACCAAAGTATTGGAGTTTCAGCTTCAGCATCAGTTCTTCCAGTGAATATTCAGCACTGATTACCTTTAGGATTGACTGGTTGGATCTCCTTGCAGTCCAAGGGACTCTCAAGAGTCTTTTCCAACGTTTCAGTTCAAAAGCATCAATTCTTTGGCATTCAGCTTTCTTTATAGTCCAACTCTCACATCCATACATGATTACTGGAAAAACCACGGCTTATACTATACAGACCTTTGTCAGCAAAATAATGTCTCTGGTTTTTAATATGCTGTCTAGGTTTGTCATAGCTTTTCTTCCAAGGAGCAAGCATCTTGTAATTTCATGGCTGCATTTGCCAACTGCAGTGATTTTGGAGCCCAAGAAAATAAAGTCTGTCACTGTTTCCATTGTTTCCTCGTCTATTCGCCATGAAGTGATGGGACCAGATGCTATGATCTTAGTTTTTTGAGTGTTGAGGTTTAAATCAGCTTTTTCATTCTCCTCTTTCACTTTCATCAAGAGGCTCTTTAGTTCCTCTTTGCTTTCTGCCATAAGGGTAGTTAATCATCTGCATATCTGAAGTTATTGATACGTCTCTTGGCAATCTTGATTCCAGCTTGTTCTTCATCCACCCCAGTATTTCACATGTATATATTGAGTATATATGTTTTGAGTATACCCTTTTCTGGGGTGGTTTTGTTACACGTCATGCAGGAACTTGCAGGGAGCGAACCTGCACCCCCTGCAGTGGAAGCACAGAGCCCTAACCGCTGGACTGCCAGGGAAGTCTCTGTACAGTGTATCCTTGTAGCGTATTTATTTTATATATGATAGTTTAGTTTGTAACTTGGCTTCCCAGATGGCATAGTGGTAAAGAATCTGCCTGCCAGTGCAGAAGACAAAAGAAGACGTGGGTTCAATCCCTGGGTCAGGAAGATCTCCTAGAGCAGGAAATGGCAACCCACTCCAATATGCTTGCCTGTAAAATTTCCCTGCACAGAGGAGCCTAGTGGGCTACAGTCCATGGGGTCACAGAGAGTTGGACACAATGAGCGACTGAGCGCACACACACATTGTTTGTATCTTTTAATCCGTTCTCTCTATATTGCCCCTCCTGCCTTCCCTCTCCTCACTGGTAACCACCAGGTCTCTGTGCTGTGCTTAGCAGCTTAGTCATGTCTGACTCTTTGTGACTGTAAATAATGCTGCTGTGAACATTAGATGGCTTCCTTGGTGGCTCAGATGGTAAAGAATCTGCCTGCAATGCGGGATATCCAGGTTCAGTCCCTGGGTCGGGAAGATTCCCCTGAAGAAAGGAATGGCAACCCACTCCAGTATTCTTACCTGGAAAATTCTATGGACAGAGGAGCCTGGAAGGCTACAGTTTGTGGGGCCGCAAAGAGTTGGACACAACTGAGCGAATCTCTGCCTTCTGTCTGTGTGAACATTGGAGGCCTTCCCAGGTGGCACAGTGGTGAAGGATCTACCTACCAGTGCAGGAGACACAAGTGATGTGGCTTCCATACCTGGTTCGGGAAGATCCTCTGGAGGAGGAAATGGTTACCCACTCCAGTATGCTTGCCTGGAAGACTCCATGGACAGAGGAGCCTGGTGGGCTACAGCCCATGGGGTCTCAGAGTCGGGCATACACACATATGAACATTGGGCTGCCTGTATCTTGAATCTTTCTCACTTTCTTTGGATATATACCTAGGAATGGAATTGTTGGCAGGTCTGTGTGCAGGTTTTGAGGAGCTTCCACACCGTTTTCAGTGTCTGTGCCAGTGCTGGAGGGTGGTCTCTTCTCCACAGTCTCCCTCACATTTGGTATTTGTGGTCTTTTGGATGATGGCCATTTTGACAGGTGTCAAGTTATATCTCATTGTGATTTGCCGGGAGCTGGCACACGAGATCCCACCCATGACAAGGTCATAAGGGGAGAAAACCTGACGGGCAAGGTGGATCAGGTTTTCAGGGGTTTCGAAAAGGCCAGCTCACGAGATCCCACCCATGACAAGGTCACGAGGAGAAAGCCTGACAGGCAAGGCGGATCAGGTTTTCAGGGGTTTCGAGAAGGCCAGCTCATGAGATCCCACCCATGACAAGGTCACGAGGAGAAAGCCTGACAGGCAAGGCGGATCAGGTTTTCAGGGATTCCGAAAAGCTGCCCCCGGCGCTCACCTTAAAGATGATATCTGTCTTTCTGATGCTTGCTTCAATAGACTATTCCCTAATTTCTGTGACAGAGGCAGAAGGCCTTCCCTGATCTCTTTCCAAATAAGAATCAATTTAGAACTTTAACCAATAAGTTTCCCGGGTGGTGGTATTTTATGAGAATTATCCAGGGTGAAAGGAGTGTTTTAAGTTAAACTCCTTTGCTGGTATTTTAGTTTGTTTGTCAAATGCATTTATGCCCTTGGTATTAATATGCATGATTGCTTATAATACCCTAATCATAAAATAACATAAAGAACCTGATTATATAAAGGCCCTAATAGACATAGAGCCCTTTGAGGGGTGAGGAACCCTATTAGAAAACACAAGACAAATTATTCTAAAAGTAGCTATTGGGTTAACATTTGCTTGCTGTCTGATGTAATGTTAAACTATCTTCCCTTAAAAATGTACTGACTTAGGGTATAAAAGCCATGGTAAGAAGTGAAGGATTGCCAGACTCTGCAGCACCCCTGTCTGGTCTCTCTCCCTCTCTCTGTCTCTCTCTCTCTCTCTCTCCCCGCCTCGCAGACTTGGCACTGTCACGTTTCATGTTATCATCTCTTGAGTAATTTATATGTCATTTGGGTTATCTTTATATTCAAGATGCGGTGAAAATTCTCCTATAAGACCATCTGGATCTGATTTATTTTTGAATGATGATTCTGTGTTAACTTTATATTTTTCTATGAAAGTTGCTTTGTTTATGCTTTATGTCTCTACTGGGGTCAAAAGTTCCTAATAGTTATTCCCTCTTTATCCTGTTTTACTTTATATAGTTATACAAATATACAAATGTTTATGTTTCTCTTTCCTTAATTAGATTAGTCAGTAGTGTGTATACTTTATCTCTTTTAAGAAGTGGGGTTTGAATTTTCATTATCATCGTCTCGTTGCTCTTCTCCACCTCGTCAACTCCTTCTGCCTCCTTAGTTCTTTCTGTAGCATTTTGAGTTGGGACTACAATTCACTTATGTTTATTAGTTTGCTTTGTAGTAAGTATTTTTATGTCTGAATTATTCTCTGATTTAAGCATAGTTTTAGGTTCTGATATGTGGTGCTTCCACTTTCATTTTTATAAAGAAATTCTGTGATTCAAGTTTGTATTTCCCCTTTTATCCAAGTGTGGTTTAGTAGAAGGTTTTAGAATTCCTAGGTGGAAACACTTTTTTTGTATTTTGACCACATTATTGATTTTGTTTCGTTGTGCTGTGGTCAGTGTTGATTATACTCTCTCTCCTTCGTGGAATTCTTCGCCTGCCTGCTGGCCAGCGTGCTTGTTCAGCTCTTGCTGCAGTGCCCCAAGCAGCAGGCGTGCTGCATTGTGTGTGGCGTTGCCATGTGGCAGAGGCTTGCTGTGTCCGCCTGGACCACGAGTGGATGCTGCCCGTGGTTGCTGGATGTGAGAGTATCCCAGCGACCCTGCCTCCCAGGTCCCTAGATGGTCACACCGTGGGGCAGGGTGGTGTCCTTGGAGCTTCCTTCTGTGGTGGTGCCAGGTGCCTCTGTGCTCTCCGGGAGAGCTCAGCACCAGGCTTCTTTCCTGGCTTGGGGAGGATCTCTGGTGCGTTGGTTGTATCCTTGGTCTGTTTCCTGAGGCCAGCGTTGGCCTCTCCTCTCCACTTCTCATTCTAGTTCAGAGTCTGGTTCAGAGTCTGATCATGATTTTGAGCACTGCGGCATCGATACCTACACTGGGGACGTGGCTGTGGTGTCCAGGCCACTGAAGGCTGAGTGGCCGGCCACTGGGCCTTCCCCTCGTAACAGGTTCCTAATCCCCAGTTTTCACACTCCCAGCTCACTGGCCAGAAGTTTCCTGCGGCTGCTTTTGCCAGCCTCAGCCTTGACCTGGACCCTTGAGCACCTCAGGTTTGGTGACACCGCGTCGTTTTTATTTTTTAGATTTTTCGTTTATTTATTTGTGGCTGTGCTAGGTCCTCATTACAGTGCAGGCTTTTCTCTAGTTGCAGAGAACAGAGGCTCCTCTCTAGCTGCCGTGTAGGGGCTTCTCACTGTACTGGCTTCTCTTTGCAGCGCACCAGCTCTGCGGCCTCAGTAGTTGCAACGCGCAGGCTTAGTTGCTCCACAGCATGCGGGGTCCCCCAGATCAGGGACTGAACCAGTTTCTCCCGCACTGGCAGGCAGGTTCTTTGCCACAGACCACCAGAGGGCCTCTCGTCATTTCTTCCGGTCACGTGTCACTTTTCACCCTTTCTCGGCAAATGGCAGAACGGGGTCTGACATTTTTGTCTTGCCCATCATTTTCAGAGTTGCCATAGCAACTCACCACAAGGACAACTGCTCAGGCAGTGAATGACTCCTTTTTCCAGTTCAAGTTCAGACTGTCTAAGGGAGCTCTGTGTGCCGGGACGCTTCTGACATGTTGCCAGTTCCAGATGACAACTCAGCCATGTCCACGCCTGTGTGATTCCTCACACACACCAAGCTTTCCTTGTGGTGTGCTTCACGCGTGCTTGTTCCCTTCATTTCGGATACACCCCATTCCCTCTGTCTGGCTCACTGAGTCCTCAGGCGCCCTGGATGGGAGCTCCATGGTGCAGGATGCCTCCTCTCAGGCACACAGCACATTCACTGCAGGATGAAGGTCTGCGCTTCTCTGCTTTGTCTGCCTGTGTCTCGGCAGTCCTCTGCATGCCACACGGTGGTTGCTCTTGGAAGTTTCTCTTTGAGGGTGGGCAGGGTCTGTTGAGGATGGGTGATGAGATTAACTCTGGCTAAGTTTCCTGTGTCCTCCCGTCTCCTCCAGAGGAAGAACAGGAAGCAGTCTCTCTGTCCTACCCCTTGCCCAACTCGCTGGTGTATGGAATCGACTGGTCCTGGCTCTACTTCTGCCGTCTGCCACAGACCCAGCCGTCCTTCCCTGGCAGTGACCCAGAAGCCAGAACCGCAGACCAGGACCCTGCCCTGAAGGTTGCAGATCCGTCACCAGCACCCTCTTCAGAGTGTTTAGCTGACAGTGATGGCGTGGGTGGCACCACACACCAGGACGGAAGCAAGCTAGAGGGCCCTCTGAAGCCATCTGCAGAGGACAAGAAGGATGTCCAGCTGCCTACTTCAGGGATCAAGATCTGTGACTGCGACCAGGATCTGGAGGCAGCAGACTTTGACATCAACCTTCTGGCCACTTGCTCCTTTTATAATCATGTTCTTCACCTCTGGAAGTGGGAGAACATCTGAGCTGGGGAAGACCTTGTTTGGTTTGACATGGAAAAGACAATTTCCACAAACAAAACCTAGAGTACATCTTTATCTTTTTTGAGAACTGTCCCCAGGCTATCTCACTGATATTTTGGTTACATGAAGTTTTCTGTATGGGGCTCAGTGCATCTGTGGAATTTTCTCAGTAGATAGAAAAGCTATTGGCCTCTCAGATAAACCTTATCTGCTGGGCCCTTCAAAATGGTGGCTCTGTGGCAGCAAGGGGTGGAGGAGGGGCTTGGTTCCCAGCTCTCAAACTTGTCCTGTGTTTTGACTTTCAGTTCTTCATACTTATATAAGCAACTACTTACCTTAACTAAAATTTTTAAAGCTACTTTATAATACCAAAGTTGTTTTTGTGTTATATCAGAAGTCGTTTTATATGAACGTTAAAAAAGATCACGGCACCAGAAGTGCTTGTATAGCCTCCTGTGCAAATAACCAAAAGAAGGGTGTATTGCTTTAGCATACCATGAACTTGAAATATGTTAAGTCCTATGGTGGATTAGTCACGCTTCCTCACTGTGGCTTCAGTTAAACCTGGACACAGCTTAACTCCAGACCTACTGGGCTTGTGACTGATCTGACTCCCATAGGTGAGTTCCTCGTTTCTGGAGGAAGATGTAGAACTACAGGCCACTGTGGCATTTGTCAACTCCTCAGCATCCACTAATATAGGTAGGTGTTCTGAATCAGAAAACACAAGCTTCTATCCTTTATTTCCTGATACAACTGTCAGCACAGGTCAGAGTGTATTAATGTTGAACCCTCCCCCAGAGTTTTAGGATATTCCACTTAAGGATCAATTAAACAGAATTAGGATCTGAGAAATTATGCACTGAAACAGAACATAAAGAGGGAAGAGACTATTAGGGAAATAGTAGTTTGGCAGCAGCTTCCCGTGTGGCCTTATCTTTAGGTTTGCCCCAAGGCGGGGAGTTTCACCAAAATAAACTGCTTTGGGACCCATAAATGTGCTCATTGGTTGTTCCCTGGAGTGAACTCTAACCCTAGGGTGAATTACCCAGTGCTGTCGCGTGGCTGGATCTGCCTGGTGAAGTATCTCCCTCCTGCAAGCTGAGTCACGTGTTATTGTCTACTTTCCTCTCGGTAGGGGTTCTGGTTTGGCTGGAACCTGAGACCGTCGCCTAGGTCTCTACGCTTTAACGTAACACGTGGCGTGCTTCCTTTACACAGTGACCAGATGCCCAAAACAACACGGTACGGTAGCCAAGATCTTTAATAGAAGCGAAACGAGGAAACCGCCTCTCCACCCGCCACCCCGGAACTAGGCTGGGCGAGGAGGTCCAAGTCCTCGGTCGCAGGCACATTCTGCGCGGCAGCCGACCACTTCTAGCGCGGGAAGTTCTTGGGATACAGCTGGAAGAGCTTGCCTTCCTGCGTGGGCTCAAAACCGTACTGTTCCAGGTGCTCGGGGTCGAAAGTCCCGGCCTTAAAGTCCTTCTCGATAGCCGGCGCCGCCGTCTCCAGAAAGAGCTGCTTGGCTGTCAGGGGAACGTCTGTGCCCTCCGGGGCGCGGTAGTTCACGTAGGGCTTGAGCTTGAAGCCGGCCAGCTCGGGCACCACCAGCTCCGGGACCATTTCCTTGACCAGCACGAATCTGCCGCCGCGACCGTGGAAGCCGACGCCCTTGGCACCCCGGCTCTTGTAGAAGGTGCGCGGGCCCCGCTTGCTGGTCCACTTGCTCATGCGGTCGGCGCCCCGCACCAGGGCGCGAGCCGCCCCGCTCAGGAGACCCATGGCGAGGCCTGCACACCGACACCACGCCGCTGCCGGCTCCAGCCGCCTCGGATACCAGCCCCGCCGCGCAGCGCTTCCGGCGCCTTCGGCAGCTTCCGGTCCCACCGGCCCCCGCGCCGCAGGAAGGGCGGCTCCGATTGGCTGCGCCGTGTCGAATGTGCAGCCTCGGCCCTGGGAGGGGGCGGGACCGGCGGTAACCCAGCTAATGCGCGGGGAGATCCCGCGTCCGGGCGGGACGTTAGGAGCGCGGCCGTCGGGGGCGGGGCTTCGAGGCAGCGCCCGGAAGCTGGGAGGTGGATTTAGGGAGCGCGGACGTTGGGGGCGGGGCTTCGGGGAGGCGGGACGGGAGCTCGCGGTGCCGGTGAGTCGCCGTCTAGCGCCGCGAAGTGGCCAGGTTAGGGGTCTGAGTCTGTGAGAAGAGGCAGGCATCATCTCCCCCAGCCCGCGCCGGGACGACACTGCCCCCCAGGGCCTCCGGCGCCTCCAACCCGACTGCTTCCAACCCGACGTCCGTCATCTTGACCCCGCTTAACTCGACGCCTCCCAACCTCGACGCCCCCCCAACCCCGACGCTCCACAGCTCGACACCCCTAAACCCGATGCCCCCAACCCGGGTGCTCCTCAGTCCGACACCCCTAAACCGGGTGCCCCCTACACCAGACACCCCCCCCCCCAACCCGAGAGCCTTCAACCGGACGGCCCCTTTAACCCCTACTGTCCAAACCCTACGCCCTAATCTCCAAGCCCCCTTAACCACGCCCTCCCTAACCTCCATGCCCTCAGCCCCGCTGCCCCAGGCTCCCCCAGTTCTCCTGGACTTGACCACCTTTCCTCTGGCCCCATGCTGTGGAGCAAGCGGAGCAGCTGAAGGCGCTTCCGTCGTGTGGCAGGTGCTGGGGGCTTGAGCTTTGTCCCCCTTGAGCCTGGTGGGGCATCGGGGGATGGGACTGGTCAGGGCTGGGCGGTAGAGCTGGGGTCAAGGCGCTCCTGGTCCTTGAGAAGACGTCTGAGAAGAAAGTTTCCCACAGGGTACGGACCAGTGAGGAAATGCAGGTGACTCTGCACCTGCCTTCTGCTCCTTGACTTACTTGGGTGGGATTTTGGAAGAGACAAACCCTCCCTTGCTGTGGCCCTTCTAAGAGACCTGGGAGCCACAAGGTGAAGGCCCTGGACATGGCTCCTTCTCGTGGCAGAGAGGTCAGGTGCACAGGGCTCCTCCTCAAGTTTACCACAGCCCGGACCAGCACACCCACCTTCAGGGCTCCACCACGCTGAGTGGGAAACCCTGTGCCCAGCCCACTAGGGAGGGTCTGGCGCACGGCCTGCGGTGACCACAGCCCCCTACCCTTACCCAGCCTCAGCCTCCTCGCCGTGGTCCTGGAACTCCCGGCTGCACTAGGCCTTTGCCCAGTTGCCCACACTTGTCTTTGACTGACTGGGAGAGGAGCCCGGGGCTTGGCTGCAGTTCTCGGTTCCTTGGGCAGCTACACCAGGGCTGTTTACAGAGAGGCAAGTGGCTCCCTTTGCTTGTGAAAAGCGTTTTCTCCGTGGAGAGCACAGTGTTTCATCAGAGTTTTCCTGTCAGTAGACATGTAACTTAACGTGGACAGGAACACAGGGAAGGGCTGGGAGGCACTGCTTTGCACGTGAGCCTGAGGTGGTACAACCTCTGCCCTCCTTGGAACCAGTCTTTCTTTTGTTTCACTTTTTAGCCATGGAGCAAGAGGAGGACACTGGCCCAGAGGTACGGAACCTGAGGAGTCCAGTGAGGAATCAGCCTGAAAATTCCCAGTGTGGCCGCTTCCGGACAAGGAGAAAGCTGCCTTGCAGCAGCTCCTTGAAGCCGGTTGCCTGTGGGAGTGGCGTGCGGGCCTCTCTTCCCCTGTCAGGACTGAACCCCTCCCTCCTGTTCCTCAAGGTCACACTTGTCAGTTCCTGCTTCCCTTTAAGAAGCTTGCTTGCTTTGAGGTAGGGCCTTTTTCCCGTGGAACATCTGTAGCCACATCACAGAGAATTTTATTCCTAAACCAGAAAATTAGATGCATTAAAACAGCAGTGAAAAGCTGAAAAGTCGGAGCTGCCAACCACTAGAGACTATGAATAGGTCTGGGTCGCTCTCAGGACCGTTCCCCTGGCTCCTCCCTCCCCTCCCCCCAAGGGGTGGCTGAGCTCAGGGGACGCACTCCGAGGAGGGTGCTTGTCTGCCACCCAGTGGAGGTGGTCTCTAGCCAAGCACACATCCTGGGCCAGGAGGGCCTGGGCACCTCACTCTGAGGCAGAACTCCCACTGCTTCCTCTGCTTTCTGAGCCAAGTTCAGAGGGTTGAGTCTTTGGATCACTTCCTTGTTCTGTCTTGATGTAACATTTTGCTTTTGAAATGCTTTTCTGAGTGCATTGATTCCCTCGGGTTTTCTGGCATCAGTACTGTGTGTGATCCTGGCTCTGAAGGATCAGGCAAGCTACTTTAGTTCTTGGCACTTGTGTAAAAGCTTGACAGAATTCACACACACACACCGCCCCCTCCCTCAGTCCATCCTGTTCCTGACTGCTTGGAAGGATGTGAGTACCAGGAGGAGTGGAGCGTAGTTACTTGTTTGACTGGTTTCTTGTCTTTGCGGGGAACCTGCCAGCACCCCCTGTATAGGAGGTCCTAGCCGTCTGCCCACTCACCATTCCACACTCACTGTTTTCTCTTACCTTCCTGTCTTTCTCCCTGGGGTCTGGGCTTCTGAAGCGCCTTGTTGACTCCCTCCTTGGGAGCCCTTTGCTGCCATGTGCTGGATTTAATGTTCTCAAAATTCAGTTGGCTCGTTAGGGTTTCTCAGCACTGCTGTTGTGTGGGCCTGTGTCCGCCCTTGGGCCAGCAGCATGTGGTCCTGCCTGTGATGAGAAGGTACTGAAGAGGTGGCCTTTGCACGCCCCTGGCCAGCCAGGTGTGCTCCTCTGGATGTGCATCCTGAGGAACAGGGAAGCCGAGACTGGAGGGTGCCCGGAGCATTTGTTGTCAGTGTGGCGCAGCTGCTGGCCCTGCCCAGCCATCCTGTGGGTGGGTAGCCCTTCTCCGGAGCAGATGGACTCAGGCCCTCTGCCTCCTGAAAGGCCGTTTCATTTTGGAGGTCTCCAGGGCTTCCGACTTCTTCCCTGACCCACAGCTCTGTTCTTGCTCCCTGAGAAGCCAGGGCTGTGCCCATCCTGGCCCTTCCTGACTACAGGCTTCTTCCCTAGGTGGGCTTCTCTCTGGCCACCCTATGGTCCTGGGGTCTGGAGCTGATGGAGCAGCATTCCCAGTCCACCATGGTAACCACCTCACTGCTCCCGGGTGATGGGCGGGCCCCAGAATCAGTGGCCGCCTTCACCCTTGGCCGCCCGGGGCCCTTTGTGTCCAGCCTGTGTGTGGGGTTGGGGGTCATGGGGCCTTGCTGATGGGTGCTCTGTCTGTGACCTTGCCCAGCTGCTGGGGATTGTCACTGGAGTCCTCCTGGCCCTGGCCCTCATCGGCACCACCATCATTTTTGTGTACAGAAGGGTTAGCCAATTCCGTGAGTATCTTGCTTGAGGCCGTGGCTCCAGTGAGGGAGGGAGAAGAGGGCTTGAGAGGGTGGTAGGTTCGGGTGACTTTCTCTTGTGTTTTAAGCTCCCGCAAATAGCTCTCAAGGCCATAGTGGCTTATGTTGAAAACTGCTGGCCTGTCGACCCCTCATCGGATCCATAGAGTTTAACTGTGTCCTGAACTCCCTTGACTCTCATTTCCAAGAAGAGATGAAGTCCTGCTTCCTCTGCTTGGGTGTGTCACAGCCCAGGAACAAGATGCTGTGTGACACAGGGTGGGCAGGACAAGCTCGGTGCACACGTGCAGCTGGCCCAGCTGTGCTCAGGCTGCCCCTTGGCACCCCTTGCAGGACAGGTGCAGCCCAGTCCTCAGTACAGGTTCCGGAAGAGAGACAAGGTGATGTTCTACGGCAGGAAGATCATGAGGAAGGTAACTCACTGCGGGCCCCCTCCCCCCTCAGAGGGGTCGGCTTCAGCCTGTGCCTGGGGCCGTGCAGGGCCCCGAGTCTTGGGGAAGGTTTGGGGCAGGCACAGCACCTAGAGAGGAAATGAGCCAGGAAGGACGGCAGAAACCCCTCCCAGGAGTATCCCCGAGTGTGTAAGGCGGAGCGTCCTGGCTCTAGTACAGATTGGTGGGCCTCCCATGATTTGGGGCTGGGCCCTGCAAGGTGGAAACTCCCAGACCTCACTTCCCAGAGTCATGACCCATCTTGGGGATGAGCAGCCTTTGTTGGTGGGCCCCACCCACTGAGGACAGAGGGCTCAGCAGACTCCCAGAGGCTTACTGTGCCTCAAAGGCATGCTTGAAACGTTTGCTGATATTTAAAAATACTGTGTTTATTGACTTTTCTCTAGATACACAGTTTGTGTTCTTTGTAGAAAAACTTGAACTGTCAGACGAGGAGTCATGTGGGTGTCCCTGGGTGGCTCTTTCTCCTCGTCAGGGTCAAGTTCTGTGAGCAGGAGGTTGGTTCAGGCTGCCGAGTCTGCCGGGGCGGCCCTGGCACGTGGAGTGGGGGCTGCTGCAGAGTCGTGTGGGGCCACACAGAATGACCTGCGAGCAGGTCTCGAGGTACTCGTGTGTGGTTGGATCTGGGGCTGTCCATGGATGACCCCACTGAGGACTGTGTGTTGGCAAGCTGGATTTGGTCTAAGGAAGACAGGAACGTGGTCCAGTGGGGCCAGAACCCCTTGGCAAGGAGGAGTCATGGTGACAGCGCACCGACAACCACAGCCGGCGCCATGGGGCAGACGCAGCTTGGGAGCTGCCCAAGGGGGCCGGCTGATCCCTGGGTAGGGGCCAGGCCCTTTGTACTCGGCAGCGCTGTTTGTGGCGGTCCAGCAGGCCTGGGCTGTGAGGGGGATGGAGAGCTGTCCAGGCCAGGAGGGTGTGCAGGCACCGGGGTTGTGTACCAGCGTGACGGGTGTGAGGAGGAGGGCGCTGGCCTTCCAGGAGAGGGGACACAGGGCCGAGGACGTCGGAGCTCTCGGAGCACAGGCTGTCCAGGGACATGGCCCTGTGTTCTCGCTGTCAGCAGCGCCAAGGAGGTG